GAATGTAATACCAGCCTAAGGGTACTATTACATTTGTCGTACGACAAATTTTTCAAGCGTGTCGATTGGCCGCTGAATAGAAAGTTTCTAGATACTCGAGAATTTTACTATCCTTCAGCCAATCAATACGCTTAAAAACTTTGTCGTACGACAAATGTAATACCAGCCTTAGTCTGTGTTGTAAGACTGACAAATATGTTGGCGCGCAGTTCCATTTCGAATTTAGTCACGATGACTTTCGTGAAATAACGTCGAGTCAACGGCACACGATACTATTTTTCCTACTGATAAGTAAAAGAATTGTTAGGCGACTTTAGGCTGGCAGATGGTTTCTTCATTTAAATCCGACGATTCGACCATACGGGTTGTGGTCCTTCTCAAGGAATTCAATAATCTACTAGTTTAATTACAGGACGTTGCAAATCAAAAGTATGTTGACCGCGAAACGAAATCAACGCAAGTCAGTACAAACAGAGTAAACTTCTTTTCGAAAACTCGCAATATTACGTCAAGTTGATCACGGAGTTTGATCCGAGTCCCCTTTGCTTTAAAATTTTAAGTATCATTAACGATTATTAGTGAGGTGACTCTGCAAACTGTAGCACTGCATTTTTTATAGTTTAACACTTCGCGGCTGCGACGATATAAATATCCTACAAAAGGCCTTGGATCGCATTTTTCAGGCGAGATAAAAAGAAGCGTCTTAAAAAAACTAGCTGCTTTACTTCTTTGACCTAACTGCGTATAATAAACTTCAACGCGTTAAAATTCACGCGAAATTTTGCGATGATCGACACATTGGCAGGGAACATCGCACTTTTACATAAACAGGCGAGTTAGAAATTTGCCTAACACGAAGTTTTGATAATCTTGTACAATGCAATTATAATATTGTACGATACAATAAATATGTTTGCCATTGTTATGGCAAGAAGACGGCGACAGTTGTTAGCAAATGAATTGCTACTCTGTACACAAAATATTATTTGCGCAAAATAGTCTTGTAGAGTACAAAGTCTCACTTTATGTAAAATCCAATCTTTATCATGCGTATCCACGCGGATAGAGAGAGAGAGAGAATACAATGCATTCTACGAAAGATATGAACAGAAACAGTCCCTCCTGCAACACCAGAGTCCCTTCGCGACGGTATAAATAATTGTGGGGCGAAAAATTCTTTAATAATGATACTGTTCACAGAAATGCACCGGTCAGGCAACACCTGAAGAATGTCTACGGTTGTCTGTCCCTGTCCACCGTGTCGGCAGCGGCCGGGGCTTACGTGCACATGTACACGCAGCTCCTGCAGGCCAATCTGCTGACGACCATCGGTACCCTGGGCCTCCTCATCGCGCTGATGTCAACACCCGACAATGGCAAGAACCAGAAACTGCGTCTCGGCTACCTTCTGGGATTCGCCTTCCTGTCTGGTCTCGGTTTGGGTCCCTTGCTGGAGTTGGTGGTTAGCATAGACCCGAGTATCGTGATGACGGCGTTAATTGGTGAGCCATTTGTATTGGTTTATGCACTCACCCGACAATCGGAAGGTCCCACGCTCGAATCCTGGTCTAGTCCTAGTCCGTTATTTTTCTCGCCGAAAAATTAATAAGTGGCGCGTTCCAATGCCTACCTCCCTGAGAATTTACCCCTATTTATTACTATCGACTTTACGTTCATGTTATACTTATCTCAAGACGAGACATTGTCCAAAGTCGATCAACTTCAAAGCTGACTAACCTGCTACAAAGTTTAAGTAAAATTAATTTCACTCAGGTCCAGGTTTGCGAGAGCAATTTGAGTTAAAAAATTTCGATGTATTTACTGTGTAAAATATTTTGCAAAAGTGATAAGAAATACTAGATAAGTAATCCATATTGAGTTGTTATGAAACAAGAATGTATTGGTCGGTAATCTCTAAACGCACACACATAAGAAATCTTCGAGAGAGAAAATATAATAGAGGAAAGTTCCCTGTTATGGGCAGAGTTCCTAATATGAGATAGCGGAGTTGCTGCAGAATTAATAGGCATTATTTGTTAGTTTCCTTACGAATTGATTGCTCTTATAATTAGAGTGAAATCTGTTTAGTGGAAAATTCCTTACTAGAACGTGTAATCGTTGTGAAAAGATTTGTGATTAAATTTGTATGTTGAAAACCTGCTGTTTCATATTAGAAGCCTATCTCATTATAGGGGACTACAATTTGTCTCGGAATAAAGTTGCGTGTTGATTTGTGACATGTACTATGATTGTGCAATGCAATGTTTACAGGTACAACAGTCGTCTTCGTTTCCTTCAGCCTCTCTGCACTTTTGGCTCCACGTGGCAAGTGGCTGTATCTCGGTGGTTCTCTGATGAGCATGCTGAACATTATGATCCTGTTCTCCTTCGCTAATCTGTTTCTGCGCTCGACCCTCATCTACCAAGCGCACTTGTACGTGGGATTGTTCGTGATTTGCGGCTTCGTTATCTACGACACGCAGCTGATCATCGAAAAGTATCACATTGGCAGCAGGGACTTCATCATGCACTCCTTGGACTTGTTCATCGACTTCGTAGGAGTTTTCCGACATCTCCTTGTGATACTTACGCAAAAGGTAAATCGCCCTGACGAATTCACTTCGTAGAATTAACCATTTCCTTGCAGAGATCGAAGCTGCTTATTTTTTTCGTCGACGTTCAAAAGAAATTTTTGCAAACGGCTCGTTCCTTTAATTTCAGACACTTAATTACTTACAATAAGACACGATTTCATCAGTTTAAAATTAACTCTCAAGTAAAAACAAATAATAAAAATTAAAAGAAGTCGATAACGACCGTGTTATCGGTGTTTACGAACTCGTCTTCCGCCGACACTAATAAGTAGATTAGAAGATCGATCGGTTATAGCATCGAAGTGAAAGTCGTAATATAGAATAATGAGATATCTCTGGCGATACAGGAAGAGAGTACTCAAGTTTAAAAAAAAAAACAAAGCGATTTTTAGTTCGCTCTTCACATATCAGAATTATATCTTGGGCCGCGTTTTTTAAGAAATATTTAGATATATATTTCGTTACAGAGTAAAAGAAAACTGCCTACTAAAAAGGATTGAGTCGCTTTAGTTGCGTTTGCAGAGTTAGAACCGTATATTAACGAATGATTAAAAAAATATTTACGATCTTTATATTGGATTTTTTCGATTTTTTTTAGGAATTGTCCAAGGACTCACGCAAGCGTAGAGATTAAGGGGAAACAAGACGGGTAATTGCGGTGCATTCAAGTAAATCCATAAACTAGAGGTCTTCATGTAATCTATCCATACCTAGATATCTGTGTACATATACATACCGGAAAAATTATATAAATACCGATATACCGATATCACGTCATACACGTATATATGCATAACATCTTTAGCGAACGCGAATACGGGACTATATATTTACTATATTGAAAAAAAGAGGAAAATGTTAAATACATTTCGGTTACTATAAATGAGGTTTGGCTTCTCTTACATCCGACTACCGGACGAAGACGTGCCGTAATTTATTTTGGTCTCATGTCTGAGTTATAATTCTCCATCAGATTTGTATACATATATATATATATATATAATATAAATTAGCTGTGTATTATATTTTCAACTTTCAATAAACGAATTTTCCCAAATCACTGTTTATTTAGCACAAATCTCAAGTGGAATAGCGGGTATTGAATAAGTCGACCAATTCGATCGATGTTTGCACATTTAAAGTCTTATCTATTATCTATAGTTGGGGATATTTACTTTTACGAATATAACGTACATATGTGATGTGTAGTTCCGATGAATATAAAAAGATCATGCGAAAAGAAAGGACAGTAAGAAATACATGCCACATACATAGAATAAGGGAGTGACTTCTTTCACTCCGCGAAATGTACAAGCGCTGAAAGTGTGTACAATATGTGTACAAGTTGTTTAATGATAGCTGGCTTGGGCCATCGACGTTTCTTAAGAACATGAAATTAGTATGGTCGCTGGCGGTCCCGGTCTCTGTCGCCCCGACTGAAATAAAATGCAGAAATTGTCAGCGTCATTAATCGATATTAGTTGTCTGTGTGAAAAAGTAGTCATTTGACTTTTATTAACTTCTATCCTAACACGACATATTGAAGAAAAGTAAAGTTCGCGAAAAGTTGAGCATCATGCAAGAAATATGAAGGATATGAACGTACCCGCCTCCTCCCCTCATGGGACCGCCTCGTCCTCCGCGGCCGCCCCGGTCTCCACCGCGGAAACCGCCACCGCCGCCGCCGCCTCTGCCACCTCTGTCACCTCCACGTCCACCTCGATCGTTTCTGTAGCCTCCTCGGCTTCCGCGGTCACCACCTCGACCACCACCTCCTCTACCGCCGCCGCCACCGCCACCGCCGCCGCTGCCGCCGTAACCGCCGAGGCCTTCCGGTTTTGCGCTCTTGCAGAGATTGCACTGATCCCGCCATGCGAAATTTGTGTTGCCGCAGTCAGGGTTGGGACATCTGTTTAAAACTCTTTTTAGTTGCTTTGTCATTCCAATCTTACTCTAACAAGGTATATACTCGCTTCGACAATAGTAAATGCCAATATACAAGATAAACAAGATATAAAAATATATAATAGATAGTAGGGAGATCTAGGTTTAAATTCTGGCTCAACCATTTTGTCACAAATTATCAATAATTTTCATAAAATTCTCTGTAACTTTTGTTACTTTTTATCTAAAAAGAGCATAGTTTCCTAGATATTTGCAAGTGTAAAAACGTGATTTTATAAATTTTTGGGCGTCAACTTCTCAAGGAAGAATTTTTCGACCTATGTTTGTAGAAAATTAAAATTTTCTTTCTCAAAATTTGACTGAAACGTTCGGAGTCATCCTGCATACTATATAACGATCAAGTTCGCTTATTATTAAAAATGTTGATTCTTTTCGCGTTAGGTATGATTCCCCGGTATTCACCTCCAGTCGCCTCCACGGCCACCACCGTCGCGACGATCGTCACCACCGCCTCCACGATGATGATCATCGCGATCGCCGCCTCCGCCACGACCGCCGAAACTACCGCCCCGGCCTCTGCCACCGCCGCCGCGACCACCGCCCATGCGGTTACTCTGCCAGTTGCTTTTGTGCTGAGCCATTTGCACCTTTATCGTGCTGCCCTTGAAGTCCTTGCCGTCAAACCAACTGATGGCAGAGCGCGCAGCATTCTGATCATCATACGTGACCGTCGCCTCGCCCTTCGACTTTCCTGTATTCTTGTCTTTATACATCCAAACTTTCGGCTTGCCCGTGCGCTTGTCATGCTGGAAACATTAAGAGACATTTTGTAAACGTGCTCTGTAACGGCTGTATCTCTCTCTATAAGCTATGTAGCACTGTAGAGCAAGGGAGAAAGAGCGAAAAGAAGAAAGAGCTACAGAGCTTATAGAGTGAAAATTTTCTTACAGAATACAGGGCAAAGTTTTCATCGAGTATTTAAATTATACCGCCCGTCTGGCACTTGATATTTAATTCCAGGCTCAGTCGAGATTAGAGTGGAGCTCCAAACATAGGGTGCGTAGTGTAAATGCCGATCTACGTGTGCAAGTAGAGGAGCGCATACTTTGATAATGCCGATCGCGCCGAAGTGCTGACAAATTTCTTCCTCGGAGATCGATGGATCCATACCGGATACAAAAATAGTATCCTCTTGCGTAACCATTCCGTCACCGCCACCGCTGTTACGATCACTGTAGCCCCCTGCAATGGACCGAAAGTTATGACTCGTCGCACAGAAGCATCAAAGACAGTAAAAAATAAAAAAATAAAAAAAAATATTCGCGCATCTACCGACCCTACTTCACTTTATTTCCTTCTAATCTAAAGGTGTAAGGAAAGTGTTTCGTGCCGTAAATCTCTCTGTACTTTCCGACTCCTCCCATCTTCAACGGAAGCTCGGAAACAGTGTCCGTACACCTTTCTCGAACTCGTTTTTCGATTAAAAATTTACGGAATTGTTATATTCAAAATATCAATATATTCTCGACAACGCAACGACAGGAATCTTAGTTAAGGAATAACGGCTGTTTATTTCCGAATGTTAGTCACCAACACTTTTCTAATGGTCTCTACGACTCTCGACTGCGTAACTTCCTGCCGTTTTTTTTTTGCAAACACGAGCGGAAGCGGAAAACGGACGGCCAGTTTTCGCTTCGGACAAATGTTCTACTCAAGAGCTTACAAGTGTAAAATATATACCAGCAAGAGCAAGAGGCGTTTTCTTTTTCCTCTCTTGTAGCGTATTATAGAGACTTACAGAGTACTTTTAACAACTAAAACGTGTAACATATCTATATCCTTACGAAGTTATTACCCAGCATATTTAGCATAACTATTGCTACTCATTATGCGTGTCTTTTTCCAGTTTTCTTTTTTTTTCACCGAGGTCTTAAAAGGAACGCACAATTATATCAACAACTTCTCGCTCAGGTACCCATTTTTTTTCCTGGAGCAATTAGAAGCTTTCCGTATTTCGAACGGCGTTACGTTTGCAGTATACGTATGCATCTCCTTGTCGTATCGTGTTACTTATAAAACGCAAATGCATTAGTAGCAGTCTAATATTTCCCATTAACACCTAACGATACATATAGAACACAGGGTTGCAGCTGAACATACAAAAGGGCTGCAACATTACTTCTTACCCTTGACATTTAATCACAGATCGGCAAGTAGCTCACCAGCTGCCTTTTATTTACTCTTCCCGCACACGTTTACGTATTCGAAAGTATGTATTCGATACACCATACCAAAAGTCAAGCACAATCATCGGCATCGTGCGATTATTGCTCTACCGCCGCTACATTTCGCGGAAATGAACGTAATGTTCATTCGCAGCACCTTAATTTTTTTTTATTATCTCGTTTACCTTTTAGGAACCTCGTAACTTTTTTAGGGACTCTCCCACTGAACGACGTCACCGTGGACGCGCACAGTGCGGAAATCGGTCGGGCAAACGACAATCGATCTCACGGAACGTATGGAAGATACAATTTTGGAAGGGGATGTCCTATTCTTATTTAAAAAAAAGGTCTCGTTTTCGACGATCCGTGCGAGAGATCGTTCATCGGATAAAAAAGCAATTGGTGATTGTAAGAACATTGGTCTCTTTTTTTTTCTTTTAACAATACATCTACTAGAACTAGGGATGAGCGAACTGTCCGACTCAAACTCGAATCGACTGCTCGAATTCGAGTTCGAGACAAGTTCAAATTTTCGAACCGTTCAAGTCTTACTAAAGTACTCAGACTTTTTCCTTTCTTTCGGTAAGGGCATATCTAGGTAATTTTGCATAGCGCATACGCATAAAGAAATTGATTGGTCCATAAACACACGTGTCTACACAAGTTTGTCTGGATAGGATTTAAAGGGGCTCATCTTCAACTGAAACTTGAAAAAGCTAATTTTGAATAAAATTGAGCGAAATAACTGAAATAAGAGCATTAGTTTTAGTAAAATTTCTGTTCGAACAGTACATAGAGTTAGCTAATATTACCCTGACTTCTCACCTTTTGTGTTTTTTAAATTAAAAAATGTTCAACACTATCCTTGATTTAACTTGTCGTATAATTACACCCGAAATTACAGAAAATTAGAATCAGTATCTGTTTCAGTATAGTTCCCTGTTTAGTCATGTTTCAAACACGAAGTCAAGATTTCTGCTTCCAAATAGTGAGACACTTCTAGAATTAGTATAAAATTACCTTGGTAAGAAAGAGCGGAACGTACCGAAGTGAAGCTAAAATATGCCGAGTTTGAGTTCGAGATTCGGTTCTGGTTTGGACTCGAGTTCGGTTCGAGAACTTGGTATTGAGTTTGGCTTGAGTAAAGAAAAACCCGGATTCGCCCATCCCTAACTTGGACAGACCGCGAACGGTCTCGCGCGACTCCCCCGCCGTTCTCACTTTACACGAGAGCTTTCCACGTGTGCGAGTATCACGTGACAGAAATGTGAATTGCCCATTGAGAGATATCGCATCGCTACATATTTACTTGGCACCCTGACAAATGTTGCATAGCAGCCCTTTCATATAACACCGAGTAACCGAGTATTTAAAGATCGTAAATAGTAGAGTGAAAGCTAGAATATTTAGCACCAGACCAGTACAGACAGTCTGGTGCATTTACCTTTGTTATAACCACCACGGCCACCGCCACTGCTAAAACACAGAAGCAGATATACCAATGAGTTGACTCATGGACAGACTGATCGATCGATCGATGCATGGCGAATCGCATGTACGCCGCTCGCCACCTTTTCTTCTTGATTGATGTACCTATTTGTCTAAATAGTCTGTACAAGTCATACCACATCATGATTTACATTAGACTGTTCGTCCCGCCGTTAAATCACGTCCGTCAGTCTCGTTTAGCATGCAGAGAGATTAGAGCTTTTATACAAATGAGAAAAACGACGACAGACGATCGAATAGAGAAAGATAGATTGATAGATAGATACAGAGAGAGAAAGAAAGCTAAAATCGGAGCGTTTGATCGATTCGACGTAACACGAGTCTCGAGGGAAAAAACAAGTCTCGGTAAAAGCATGCCTAGGTTCTATTTGGACATGTATATACATATTATATATATTCCGTCATTTTTCAAACAAAAAAGTAAGAGATTACTTGTGTTGTGGAACTCTCTTTGCCGACAAAAAAAAAAACATTCATTAAGCATCCGCCGTTGCAACTCGCCGTTGCGTACCACTGCGGATATCGGGAGACACGGAAATTCGCAAGTGCACAGCACAATCGACGTACTTTGCCTTTCACTCTCGTTCGTGATAAAAAACAAAAAATAGCAATGTGTTCCGGAAAAGTACCTGTTTAAGTGATACCAATGGAAGCGACAATACGTACAGTAAAGCCACGTATCGCTCGAAGGCAAATTGACATACGGAATGGTACAATGTACAGTCACAGTTCCACCTTTCTCTCGAAAACTTGTTTTTTTTGTTTGGTATAAAAAGGACACGACGCGTGAATGCGGTCGGGGATAAAGGCAATAATCCGTAATCTCTTACGATGGACTTTAAAATACCTTAGTTGCCTAATTATACACCTAATGGAGATAATAATACAACAGTAGCCCCAGTGGCAACATCGATCGCTTTGCAATCTTAATCGACTTAAGACCTTTGCATTTAGCTGCCACACAATATGTTACGTCGTGTACATGTATGTATGTTGTGTGTGTGTGTGTGTGTGTGTGTGTGTGTATGTGTGTGCGTGCAGGTGTCTGTCGAGTATTTGCTGATATTCCAGAAGCAGCGAATAGTGTCGACATTACAGCCTTTTTTACGTCAATCGTCATATACTGTTAATTTTTTACCTCTCTTTTTTACCTCAGTTATATCTGTCTGTTAAACCTGTAGGCATACTTCAAACATATTAATGCCCGGTCGGGCATAAAACCGATTCATAATGATGATTCAACAAGAGTTTTTTTTTCCATTTACTGGCGTTAAGAACTTCATTGCATTACCTTTGATTTTGCTTCGGCAAATAACACGCTTACTGAATGCGGCGGCTGTTGATTTTAATTTAACACACCGGAGTCGGTCGCTCCGGTCATCGCCTCATATATTATACATTATTAAAAGTTCAGAAAATAAAACTTACTTGTAACCACCACCGGAGCGATCTCCGTAACCGCCGCGATCGCCATATCTGCCACCTCCACTGCCACCTCCTTGGCCTAAAACACATACGCGATAAGTATGAGGTGTGAGCTGCAGAAGAGAAGAAACAGCTATCTAACAATGAGATAGGGCCATAACAGAGTGGCTGACTCGCCATTTCAAGGTGTTTATCAAATCTGCATTTGAATTGTAAAGCGTCGACATTAAAGACGTTTATGCGCAAATGCAAGGTCTAATGCGACCAGTGGAGGTTTAAAAAATATATAAACGAACTATTAAATTAGTTACTAGTTATCGGAAAAATGTAAGTGAGTTAAATTACTGTTACAGATGGAAAGAAAGTAACGAAATTAAGTTAGAGCTACCAAAAATAAGTTACTTCTCAACCTTGATAAAGTGAAATAGAAAATCGTTGACCAACCAAAAAGAGACTACTAGAAAAAGCTGTCTGCCTCAAGAGAGCAGTGGGTCTTCCAGTATGGTATAGAATTCATTTGTCTCCAGTCTTAAATGTGCGTATGAAGTCTATGCCCGCAAGGAATAAACGCATGTATGTAAACACATACAAAAGTAGCGAGTTTACTGTATAACTACTAATAATAAATGAATATTTTGCAACAAAACTCTTGAAATTACTAGTCAGTCATTTCGATAAGGCCGTAAGTATAATATAACTAGCACGCCCACTCTCTGTCGGCCCTTAAATCTTTTCGAGCCCGATCATGTGGTATTCTGCTATGTTTTGGTACAAATCCAGCGCGTGGTGTACGTACTCATGAAAGCTACACTATCATACATACAATTATTCTCTCATTGCCCAGAACAATGTCGGATGCACAGAAGGGATCGACGCTAACGAAACAAATGACGGAGTGGACCTACTACGTATACTATAGGTTTATTTTCTGTTCCTGCACTGGTGAACTAGTGCAATAAATTGGAGTAAGACAAGTATATTTTTTCTCATTCTAGCTTGCTGCACTAGTTCACCAGTGCAGGAACAGAAAACAAGCCTTATGTGTATGCAGTGTATGCAATGGTTATACCATGCCTTAAGTAAGCCTGGATAGAGATTGTAGAGGAGAGAGTGTGAGAAGCTTAACAAGGAGTAGGGAAGCACACAAAAGAATCTAAGAGGTTTTAGTCGCAGGAATACGAGGAGACATTAACCTCCGCTGTAAGAACCGGAGTTGCGATTATATCCTCCGCTGCCGCCCCCGCTGTTCCCATAACTTCCGCCGTAGTTATTACTGCCATCTCCGCTGCCGCCACCACTGCCATAGCTGTTTTGGCTGCCGTAGCTGCTCTGATTCTGCGGCTGATTGTAGTCTTGGCCGCTGTTAGAACTGTAATTGTTGTAACTGCCGTAGTTGGTGCCGGCGTTCGGAGGAGGCTGGCTATATTGATTGTAGCTGCCGCCGGTCGAAGGTGGTGGATACGACGTATCCTGGCCAGCCGTGGGAGGTGGCTGGCTGTACTGGTTGTACCCCTGTTGCTGGTAATTGGAATACTCTGAAAAGTTCGATATACCCAATGTTTCAGCAATCGGCGCCAGTACAAGCTCTACCTAAAGGTCACTACGATCTACATTGCTCCGGAAAGTAACTTAACAAATGGCCATTAATACACAGGGGACGCAGGTCGACATATTTGCTACGAGAAAATACACAAATATATATATGTTGGAATAAACTCGCGGGTGTGTAAATTCATGGATTTGTAGAAACTGACGATCACCGAGCGCGCGAAAATAAAGACCCGCTCGTCTTCAAGCCTGGAAACAACCCGACGGTTTCCCGGCCCATCAGAAATTCCACCTCGGCGTTGCGCTCGATGCCTCCGCCAATCGCCATTTTCGCTCGTGATCGACGAAACGACTTCACAATTGCGACGATGGTCGTTTTATCTCCGCCAGCTTGGGTTTATGACGCGCGCGGAGACGTCTTTCAGGCTTATCGCTGCCGGGAGGACTGTTCGTTTTGTAAATCGGACAAGCAACTTCATCGGATACTCACGATTGTCCGTCATTGTACCGCTCCTTTAGACGAACGATGGGGAGAGAAACCGCCGATGGGACGGGAAGATAATCGAATACTCGAACGTTGCTTCGGCAAGTAAACTGAACCGCGCGTGCTTCCTCCTCGTCCTCTTCTTTCACGAATACTTCGTCCCGCGCCGGGACTCGTCTCGCTGTCTCACCGCACGTTTCCTTCGCGAGGCGAAGGAACTCGCGTACCCGATCGGAATGGTGAAACGACACGGCTGCCTCGCGGACGGAAGCGGAAACGGCCTGGCGGAAGCCCCGTGCGGCGGCTCGCCCGCTTCAGCCCGCTTCCGGCTGGCGCCGTTGTCCAATCGGAGGTGTCGTTCCCGAGGGGAACCATGAAGACTAGAAGACTAGAGATCGGGGGCTCGATTCTTGAATTCATTCGCGAAGGAGAAACGTACATACGTGCGAAAATTCTGGCTCTAATGCGATGGAAGAAAGAATATGGGAAAAGAATAAAGCGGAAGGGCCTTCGCACACAAAATTGCATAGCTGCATATACATAGCGTAAAGCCCGTATCAGACTACGGATTGGGATTGGGATTAGATTGAAATTTAACCAATCACAGTAAAGTTTACTAATCTCAAGTTCAGTAACTTTTACTCCAGTTGGTCAAATTTCAATCCAATCTCAATCTCAATCCGTAGTCTGATACGGGCTCAAGGGCCATTGCACACAAAATTGCGCAGTTGCATATACATAGCACAAGACCGTCTGGACCAATGAGCGCGTTATGTAAATCAATATGGCGACTCAATGTTCGATGTTCATTGGTTCAAACGGTTTTCATGCTATGCATATGCAGCTATGCAATTTTGTGTGCGATGACCCTAAAGCACACACTTTTGCATAAGTGCATAAATATATGCATAACGAATTTGATTGGTCCATTTCCTCATGCATTTGCTTATAGATCAATCAAATTCGTTATGCATATGCTTATGCACTTATGTAAAGCCCGCTGCAGACGATGCTATTTTTCCTGCTGGATTGCTTGCAATTCAGTAAATTACTAGGAATCCTGAATGCTGAGTGGTGCAATGATAGTAATTTACTAAATTGCAAACAATCCAGCAGGAAAAATAGCATCGTCTGCAGCGGGCTTAAAAGTGTGTGCTCCCCGCTTAAAGCCTTGTGTCCACGATTCAAGAACTGTGTCCAAGTTCTACTTCCGAGAAGTGTGTAGCCAATCGACTCGCAGCTTTTACGGAATAGCCGCGAGTCGATTGGCTACACACTTCTCGAAACCAGAACTTGGACGCGGTTCTTGGATCGTGGACACAAGGCTTAAGACAAGCATATTTTTTCTCATTCTAGTTTACTGCACTAGTTCACCAGTGCAGGAACAGAAGGCAAACTTAAAATTGCATAGCTGCATATGCATAGCATGAAATCCGTTTTAACCAATGAACATCGAGCATTTAGTCGCCATATTGATTTACATGACATGCTTATTGGTCCGTCTAGTACCGGGATTCTGCCACTCAACCTATGGCAGCGCTCGTAATGTTGATTACAGTCCGAATCATGGACCTAAGAATCTCTGGACCGAGCATGCGGCGAGGGGGCTGGCAAATTTGCGGTAAGGGGGG